GGTATTGGGAATTGAACTCAGGGGCACTCGACCACTGAATCACATCACTAGCCCTATTTTATAATTTATTTAGAGACAGGGTCTTAATGAGTTGCTTAGAGTCTCGCTTTTGCTGAGGCTGGTTTTGAACTTGAGATCCTCCTGCCTTAGTCTCCCAAGCATGCGCCACTGCACCTAGCCCAGTCCTTACTCTTGTAGAGTCAACTGTTCTTTGGCATTTACTGGCCAACTTACTTACAGAGATGTAAACCACTTCTCAAGAGACGTAACAGGTGGAGTTCTCACTAACAGTTACAATGTTTGGAGTTCCGATTGTAAATGTCACTCCTTCACACTCAGCTTTTCTATTGAAATGATCAAAGACAGGTCATGAGGTTCCCTTTTGAGCACCTGTCCTCCCTGCTGTTTCTTTCTAGAATCTGTCCATGCGATTACCCTCTGAACTCCCTCAGGAAGGCTTGAGGAATTCTCTCAAATAGCTTCTCAAAATTTCTTCCTCCTATTCCTCCTTCTTCTGTCTCTTCCTCTTCTCATTCTTATTTTTTGGTATTGGGGATTGAACGGAGGGGTGCTTTACCACTGAGTCATATCCCCAGTCTTCTTGAGTTTTCATTTTGAGACAAGGTCTCACTAAATTGCTTAGGGCCTCACTAAATTGCTGGGGCATGCCTTGAACTTGAGATCCTGTAGCCGCAGCCTTCAGAGTTGCTGGGATTACAGGCACGCGCCACCACGCCCAGCTTCAAAATTTCCTTTATCTAAAGTTGATTTATCTATCCCATCATTACTGCCAGGACTCTATGGTGGCTGACTATGTCTCCAAGGTGTCCTATGTACTGCTTAGGATGCATGCTGTTGCAAGAAATGGAATTAGTTTGAGTAGAATTGTTTACATATCTGCTAAGTCAGAGTTTGGAAGCTTTCAGGGCTGAACTGATTCAGTGGCTACACAATGTCATCACTGATGGTTTCTTTCCACCTCTTTGCTCTTCTTCTCTATGAATGGCTCCCCCTCCTGGTTCAAAATATTTGCAAAGGACTTCCAAGATACGTATTTCCTTAGTTGCCTTCCAAGGGGAGGACTATCACTTCAAGGAGTTGCAGTTGCATTAGAAAAGTCAGTTATGTAATCATTCCATCATCTATACATATACCAAGGCATCATACTGTACTCCCCAAATATATATAGTTATTTGTCAATAAAAATAACAATTAAAATATAGGATAATAAAACATTCAATGAGCACCTACTATATATGCCAAGTGCTTTAAATACAATATTTAATATAATCCTCCCATTGACACCTGCAGTGAATATACCCACTTTTCACATTTGCTAGGTGGATGACTTATCAAATTTCTTAATCTCCTTGTACCTTGTCTGTAAAATGAGGATAATCTAGCGCCTGCTTCATAGGGTTGTTCTGAGAGTAAATGAAACAAAAGATAGAAACCCTTGGCACGGTGCCTGGCATATACAGAGAAGCTTCAATATACATTAGGTATCTCACGTACAGAGTAAGCATGCTTCCAGAACTCCTAAGCAAGCCCTGGGTTAATGATCATCTGTGAACAAATCATAGTAGCCAAGGGGTGGGTTAGGAGCCACCTGCTCCGTTCCTAGAGTCAAAAGTGGAGTCAGCCTCCCTTAAGTATCTGGGTTGTAAATAGAATAGACATCAAATGAAGACTAGGGGCAGGAAACAGTAAGAAGGAGAAAAGATATTGGGGAGAGGAGGGAGCTACAAGGTCTTTTACGTCCTGGATTATTTTAGTTATTCTGAATATTTTAGCAAAAAAATATATCTTCCAAAAATAATCTTCTTCAAGTTCCTGAAGTCACATCTCATGAGGTCAAGCATTTTCTCTTAAACTCCGTCTTCTTTTATCTATTCTTAACTTTATATAATCTCCAATTTATAACAATATGCATTATAATCTTCCCTATTATCCTAAGTCATCAGCCCTGGTACAGTTATCTTACCTTCTTTTACAACTGCCTGCTTACAATTCACATTTGGTAACAGAATGTCACCAGAAGGACATTTATATAAGGCCAAGTAGGTGCCATCGTTCTTAGTATGTGTGTGTGTGTGTGTGTACAGTTTAGCATTATACGCCCAGATTATTTTCTTTGAAGATCCATCTTTTCAATTACATCTCAATAAAACCCATTTTTTCCTTTTAAAACCCATCTTTTCAATTAAAGCAATAATTGTCGGGGGAACAAAACTATGGACTTCAAATTGGTTTTCCACCCGAGGTTCATCTTCATTTAGCGTTTCTAAATGTCGGTGCTCTACACAGAGATTCGTTATGTATTTAAAATCTTTTGTGTGCTAAGACCCTGAGGGGGTTTTCCTGTGAAGGGAGCAATTTAAAAATCTGAAAATAAATTATTGGTATTGAACATTCTTGTCTCTAGATTTTCTTGTAGTTTTCAAATATTGGCTAAATATTTATCTTTGGGGGTATGGGTTGGAAATAGCTATGGGGAGAGATTAATTGCCTAAAGCATTTTATTGATCTGCCATGAGTGGGTAAATACATCAAATTAAAAACTCACCCAGCTCCATCAAAAAGCACATGAAGGGTTGAGAGGCGAAGGCAGATGTTGAGCACAGATGATGGTAGAGATGAGTTTATTGTATGCTCTCTCTGTAATAAGATTTTTTAAAACCTGTTCTTTTCTTCTCTCTCTCTCTCTCTCTTTTTTTTTTTTTTTTTGGTACCAGGGATTGAACTCAGGGGTGCTTAACCACTGAGCCACATTCCTAGCCCTTTCAAAAATATTTTTTGTTTAGAGACAGGGTTGCACTGAGTGCCTTAGGGCCTGGCTAATTTGCTGAGGCTGGCTTTGAACTTCTGATCCTCCTGCCTCAGCCTCCCAAACTGCTGGGATTACAGGTGTGTGCCACTGAGCCTGGCCAGAAACCTCTTCTTAATGTTAGCTGTAGGTACAAGGCTTTTTTGTTTGTTGTTTGTTTACTTGTTCATTTGTTTCTTCCTCCTCCTCCTTCCTCTTCTGCTTCTCCTTCATCCCTTGAGACAGGGTCTGACTAAGATACCTAGGCAGGCCTTGAACTTCCGATCTTCCTATCTTACCCTCCCTCCCCAGTGTCTGGAATCACAGATGTGCACCACCTTGCCTGGCTTTTTCTACTGCTTAAAAGAAAAAAATATAAAGAAAACTAACCCAGTTCAAAGCTTATCGTTTCATCTAGTGACAGAGCATCATTTTGTTTTCTAAAAATTGTTCATGAACAAGATCTCTCAGCATGCACAAGAGGAAATAAGATCTTCCTTTCAGTTAAAAAAAAAAACAAAACAAACACTTCTTGTTGTTGTTGCTTTGGTGAACTCTCAAGGTAACACGGAGTCCTGCTCCTGGAAAACCACAACAAAAGACAAGACAGCAAGTGGCCTGCCCAGACACCAACTGATCACTGCTTTTTAAAATAGACCTTTTGGGGGATACCAGTTCAAGAGAGACCCAAAATTGTAATCTCTTTGGAGACCATTTCAAAGTGTGGTTTATGGCATCCTGGAAGTTACTTCCTGTAAACACGGCCATGGTTATAGGAATAAGGTACTCTCCTCCCACAGCATTTAAAAGCAGTCTTTTTCTTTCTTTCTTTTCTTTCTTTCTTTTTTTTTTTAAAGCCATTTCCAGGAACAAACCTCTGTGTAGATGACTGTTTTCTTGCCTTGTCTGGAGCTTTGATTGCAATACCATGTGCCTAAAAGAGTCCCCACCAGGTATGTGAAGGTGCATGTGAGCCTGAGAAGAACAGATGGACAGAGAAGTTATTTCAGCTTTTTTCTTTTTCTTTCTTTCTTCAAAATCTATTCAGTGGCAGGTTCTCCTGGTGATGACATAAAATCAGCTTTGAGAGGTTCAGGGCACCAATCTCTTTGCAGGTCTGTGTTGAGAAAGCTTGACCTTCCAACAGGTTGCTCCCTGCTGGCACAGTGGTCCTATGTGCCCCCTGGCCCCCAGCCCCACCCCCTGCCCTATCCCTACCCTACCTCTACATCTCATTTTTGGAATTTCCTCCCCATTATCTCTTTGGGCCTGATCTACAACCTAAGAACCTTCTTCACTTGGATTTTTAAAGGACTGGGGTGGCTATTATTAGATACTGAAGAAGAAGTCTTAACTCTCTTGATTAGGTGTAGACAGAGCTCGGAGAAGGAATTAGAAGCAGCTGAACAGGAAGACCCACACAAACAAGACCCAACAGAAAGAAACAGCACTGCTAAGCAAGTAAGATACCGAGAAGAGACCATGGGCAGTCATGTTGACAAGAGTGCATGGTGTCAGCTCTGTTCATGTCATCGACTCATCTACTAGTGTTTCTGTGGTTTTTATGGTTTTTCAAAAGCTCATATTGAAAAATCACCCAAGATACCTGCTGTACCAGCAAGAACCATCCTGCCAAAACACTTCTAAGTACAACCCTGATCAGAGTTCCACCCACCATCTGTTAACACCTACTAATAATGTTACAGTATATCTGTGCCAAAGATTTGAGATATTGAGACTTTTGGGGGTCCACGAGTATCTATACATGTCACTCTGGTCAGCAAGATAGTTTTAAGGTATATGCAAAACATTCATCCTACTTATCCTTTTAATGGTTATATATTTATTTTTAATATGCATTAGGAAAGAATGAGAGAAGAAGGGAGAGAGAGAGAGCAAGAAGAAGAGGGAGAGGGAAAGAGAGAGGGAGGGGAAAAAAATCTATCAATCTCTACATTAAGCAGCATCACCTAGCATGAATTCATTATCAAACTCAAGGCCAGGTCTCAATAGATGATTTGGGGGCCCAACCTGTTAGGGTGTGAGAATCATGGGCTCTGTGATACTCAGATTTGAGAAGATGAGTCTCTCCTACCACCCTGGCCAGTGACTGTGGACAAGTGTCTCCTGCCAGTTGGGTTGTGCGAGGAAGAACACTTTCCAGAGTCTTTCATTTTTCAGCGGACACATTAGCTGGAGTTTTGCAACATTTAATCACAAAAGAATCTGGCATTTTAAAAGTTAGTTTACAAACTTGACACATTCTTAATATTAGCAATTTATCTATTTATACATTGTCTAAGAAAATAAGGTCTGGGAGACATCAACAAGATACTTAAGAGTTCATTAAAAGCTATAGCACTTTGCAAATGAGTATCCAGTTTAATTGTAACAAACCACTACCAGCGAATTTAACTAAGTATATAAAAACATTAGTTAAATACAATTCTCTGGAAATATACATTATACCTACAGTTGTTTTTACAGTGAGATTCTTCCCGTTTTGAGTTTTTTCCCCCTTTTAATTATCAAAATGGTAAATCACTGCATGGTCCTGGATCTCCATGCTGTAAAACTGAAATATGTGTTTCCAGCGTAGCAGATGGTGACCAGGAAGGCGAAGAACTGGAGAAAACAAAGCATAATAGAAAAGGGGTTTAGGGCACATTCTAATTAGCAAAAGTTATCATTTCACCTCCACTGAGTGAATCATGTACTCATGACATTCCCCTGACTCCAGGCTTCTCATCTAAAATTACTTTATTGGTTCAATTACTTTCTTCTCAAGCAATTTCTGGCCAGGCTGATTTTAGCTTTTGGAACATGTCTGGAAAGTCTATAGTTCTGCTCAAACCACCTCGGGGAGTTTTCCTTAGGAGTGAGTATGGTGGTGCATCTATGAAAAGTCGATCATTTCTAATTCAGCACAGGCAAATTTCGACCTTGGATTACCACAGGGTCAGCTCGCAAAAACAAATCGAGGGGGCCAGAATAAGCAACGAACCTAGATGGGGGAGGAGGAAAATTCAGGCCCTTCTTAAGGGGGCAAATACACTCACTGCTAGCCCATCCTTGCTGTATGTTAAATGGAGTCCAGTCTTACCAAAGCTGGGGATGTTTTAATATCATGTGCATTTATGTTCTCTACCTTTTAAAGGTGATTTTCAAATCTAAACAAAAGTCAAGAATATAATGAACCCCTACATGCCATTAGCTTTCCTTTTTTTTTTTTTTTTGGTACAAGGGATTGAACCCACAGGCACTTAACCACTGAGCCATATCTCCAGCCCTTTTTTATATTTTATTTAGAAATAGAGTCTTGATAAGTTGCTTAGGGCCTCACTAAGTTGCTAAGGTTGGCTTTGAATTCTCAATCCTCCTGCCTCAGCTTTTGTACCTGGCCATACCATCATTTTTAGTGTTATCATTCTGTCATTCCTGTCTAATCACCAATCTCTACTCCAGATGGGCTTCTTTTGGGCATGGGATATTTTAAGGCTAATTTCAGAGCCATTTTTCAAACTAGTTTTTTTTTTTCCTTTTCTTTTTCTTTTGTACTGGGGATTGAACCCAGAGGCACTTAACCACTGAGCCACATCCCCAGTCCTGTGTTGTATTTTATTTAGAGACAAGGTCTCACTGAGTTGCTTAGTGTCTCACTTTTGCTGAGGCTGGCTTTCAACTTGCAATCCTCCTGCCTCAGCCTCCCAGTCTGCTGGGATTAGAGGCGTGATCCACCACGCCCGACATTTTTTTTTAAATTAGAAAAATAATATACAATTATGATTTTTAAACGTATGCAAATACATAAACCAAAAAATAGAGGTTTCTCATCTTATTCCCCTCATTTCCCAGTCCCAATCCCTGGATGGAAGCTCCATCTGTTTTTCTGGGCATTCTGAATGCACAAACATTTCCACTATTATGCTCCTTCTCTGCAACCTCCTCCACTTAATAAGCTGTAGGCAGTGGAATCGTTCCAGACAGTTCTTCTCTCTCAGGTACTTACCTTCCTCCATTCCACTTTCACTTAAGCAGAGGGCTTCAACCCGATGGCCCTGCAGCCTGCAGGTCATCTCACCAGTTTTTGAACCAGCAAATCAATTGCCCACTTGTTACTATTACAAGTGGCACTTTTTCCTGTAGATAACTTTGTCCTCTTCCCTAAGTAATCCTTGGGGGAAGGATGAGGAGGAGGGCTGTGAGGAGATGGGAGGGCTCACTCACCGATGAGGCTGCCCAGCTGTTGAAGTTGTGATTGCCCCTCTCTGGGGAGACAGAAGACGCATCCACAATGGCGGCAGAGAGGTATAAGACGAAGGCACTGCCATTAAAGCACAGGCCCTGGGGGAGAGGCAGAGGGGCAGAGTGTTCAGGGTGAGAGGGACCTCAGAACCGGCTAGAATTGCAAAATCTCAGAAGTGCAGAATTGGTAAGGGGCCCAAGGGGAGGACAGGTGGGGGAGGAAGCTGTGAGAAACAGCTGCAAGAGGAGAGGGTTTGGGGCTGGGGTTGTGGCTCAGCAGTAGAGTGCTCACCTAGCAAATGCGAGGCACTGGGTTCAATCCTCAGCATCACATTAAAAATAAATTAAAAAAAAAAAAAAAAGAGGAGAGGGTTTCATACCAGCTCATGCACCAGAAGTCACTCCCCCCAGCAAGGCACCTCCATGTTGCTGCTAAATTAGCCCTTACTCTTCCTCAACTGGTTCTTGGTTCTTATCTAATGCAAACTTCAGCATGGTGACACATTGGTGGAGCAGGGCAGGCAGAGGGAGGGGCCACATGGTGAGAACTACCCTGCTAGAGTTGGGAGAGACCTTTTTCCAAACTGGCCGGGCTGATGTTCTCACTGTGGCTCTAAGCAGGCATGAACATTTCAGTGAGCTCCTCTGGCCACACGGCCAGTTTTTCAAAGTAAAAAAAGAAGATTGTAGATATCATCTCAGCCCTTTAGGAACTAATCTTGCCCTTGGTTTCACCTTATTATTTTTTTTTTTCTATTCTTAGAGAACAGAGATATGTAAATCCAAGGAGGTAATTGGTTTTGAGTTATATTTAAACTCCAGGAATTCATAGTCTGAAATGTGCAAAGCTTGGTCATGTCGGAACACCAGTGTGGGTGTGGTGGGGTCGGGAAGAACCTAACAGCCATACAGGTAGGAAGAGGGAGGCATCTCAAGGAGTCAGCCTTTGAAGAGCAAAGAACCACTACCTGAGGTGTTTCAAAGGTTCAAGAGAACAGGTGATTACAGAAACTCAGAGGGCTGCAGAATATCACTGAGCCTCACAGAAATAGGAGGTCTTACTGCTGTAAAAGAAGCAAGTCCCTGAATCAGGGGCTGTTCAAGCTCAAAGAAATTAAAGCTTCCCTGTTGCAAATCCCAGTTCTGGACACATCCCTGGGCCATGGTAATGGCAGAGTGACAAGGACAACACTGTACTTTACTTGATCCCTGTTCCACATAAAGGCACTCTTTTTTTTTTTTTTTTTCTCAAATAAAGGCACACACAGACAAAAGCCATCCAATAGCTGGCAAAGCTTTGTTGATCCTCCACCCTGTTGTTATTGGTGTCTACAGTTTAAAAGACCCAACTGCTGAGGATGCTTACTCCCTTCACGGTAGAGAGAAGGTAGGTTTAGGTTCATGGAGGTTTCTTCAAGGCTGGAACCAATTACTGAATTTCATTACACGTGACTCTGAGCCACACAGGTCAGCCCTGCACAACCTCCCTGCCCTGGACCAGCTCCAACAACAGGTGACTCACAGCCCTCTGCAGTGGCCCAGTTTTTAGAAGTTCCACATAATTGAGGGCAGTGTTATACATATGACACATACCAAATAAACACTTCTTGATTCAAAGGGTCAGAACCGAGCTTTATTTAAACTGGTTTATTTTTACACTGCTGTGCACAGTACTGTCTAGTGAGCTCCACTACTTCCAACACCCCTTCAGCTTCTTTGGTCACAGAGGTACTGAGAGGAAGCCTACTTACAACTTCCCTAAATACTAAGAGAAATTTTAGGTCTGAAGGCAGTGGGAAGAAGCCCTGACCATGTGTAGTGAGCATGTGGATTTGGCTGTTGGGAACACGACCCCAAATGAATAACTTAAGAAAAAGTTTATTCCTCTCTTGAGGAATCAATCACAGGCTTGAGCAGCCAGAGCTGGCGGGGAGGCCTCAGGGTGACAGGAATACAGCCTCTTTCCTTTGTGTCAGTCAGCCATCTCTAAGGTCTTACTGTTTTGTATATAAGAAGGTTAACACTGGCCCAGCTGCATCCCAGCTAATAGGGACATGGGAGAATGTGCCCCGTCTTAAGGTTATGGCCCAGAGGTGTGGTCCTGCCTCTTTTATCCAATAGCCAAGCTTAATCCTAAGGCCCAACTAGTGCCAGTGTGGCTGGGACATCGAAACTACCTGGGTGTCCATGGGCCTAGCTGAAAATTCTATGACTAGAGAAGAAAATGGATACAGAGGGAAAATGAGCAGTCCCCGGTGCTGAATCTATTCAGAGAGCAAAGAGTACAAGACTTTCAGGTCAGCCTCTGGCACTGGGTCCTCAAGAGTTCCCAGGAAGACAGAGCCACCTGGATCACCATCTGGCATTCCCCAAGGCTCAGGTCCAAGCGAGCCGTTGGGAAGAATGGGTCCTTCCTCTTGCTCCCCTGGAACTTTGCCACTCTTCTTAGTATTCACAAAATGTCATTTTGCTTAATATTATAATTAGCCTTGTGCATCTCCTCTGTCTTTTCCATCAGAGTTCATCTCTTGAGGGCAGTAGGATGTCCTACTCATCCACCACTTGCCTTTCTGAATCTCTGGCCTCCATCACCAAGTATTAGTGGAAGAGATGTACAGGTCTAATGGAAGAGATGTGGTCCAGGCAAAGGCTGAGAGGGTACAGAGTGACACCAGACTGCTCCCTATCCTGTCCACAAGCAGCTGCTGGAGGAGCTCCATGACCTCAGGGTGTGGCCCACAGACCAGGGGCAGCAGCACAATCTATGTATCTCTTAGGAAAGCTCATTCTCAGACCCTGACCAGACCTACTGAATCAGGTCTGTAGGGAATTTCCAAGTAGGACATATTCTCAGCAATATGAAGAAGAACTGTATTTTGAATCCACAACAAAGGGAGAAATGATGAAGACAGAATGTGGTGAACAAGAAAGGCCACAGGATTTAGGATGGAGGAACAGACTTGGATGTCAACTTTTGTCCTTCATCCTGCCCCTTACTGGCTACAAGTCACCTCTTTAAGCTCTTTCCTCTGTGCCTTCTGCTATCTGTTCTCTCTTCCCCTATGATAACAGCATGGCTAGTGACCACTCAGAGTCAAGATCCTACTTTTCATTTTTCTTGGAAGGAGTTGCAGTCACATGACCCTGTTTAGACCACTAGGATGCAAGCAGATGTAATGAATGCGACTTCCACATCATGGCTTTAGGGGCAGAAATGTGCCCTCCCCTTGCCTCCTTTTAATCTTCTCTCCTGACTAGAAAATAGATGTGATGGCAGGTGTTGAAGGTGCCACCTTGGACTCCAGGCAGAAGCCAAGGGTTAAAGATGGAAGAGCCAAAGATAGGAAGAATGTGAAATGTGAGTTGATCTCATAGACCATGTGACTTACATGAGCCAGCTTTATCTTGGATCTCTCTAGTGTAGGGATCAAACTGACAACTGAACTGATTCTACTCTTAATTTACAAAATGGGGAAACATACAAGTCTCACACATCTCAAAGGAGACAGTGCTGTTATAGACCCATGTGAACTGTAAAGTGATCTACTTGTATAATCTATTCTTCTTATTTGTGTTTAATGACTGTGTCAACTAGAGGCCAAATAGAGGCCTAAGCCAAGTCACTTAGAACCTGACTGTGCCCTTCATACTAAATCACTACTGGTTAATGGGAGACAGGAAGACTCAATGAGTCCAAGTCACAATGTGGTCCTACCAGGTGATAGCAGGGCCCTAGCTCTGTAGGCTTAGGTAGACTGGCTTGAAACAGAGGCAACAGGAAGGTGTCCATTTCATGTCTCTCAGCCCTCGATCATGAATCATGTGCTTAGTTGAAGGGTCTTTTGGAAGCTTTGCAATAACAAATAGGACTCTTTGGAGCTGCTATACTGAAAAGATCAACCAGGCACATCTAGGTGGCCACTTCCTACTCAAGATGGCACAGTGGAAATGGTCACTTCCAAGGTCAAGAGAAATTTGAATATCCGTGTGCAATGGGAACCAAGCAGACTCCAGGGTTGAAAACTGTTGTCAGCATTAGGAGACCTGTCTCCCACTCCTGGCTACCAAACATCCTCTGAAGGCCTCAATTTCCTCATTTGAAAAATGGAAACAATCCATTCCACCTTTGCAGAGTTATTATGAGGATTAAATGATGTAAAAAATAAAGGATTCAGAACATCATCTGCACACAGTAGGCTCTTAAGAAATGGCAGGTGCTTTTCCTGGTGAAATAATGCAAGCATCCCCTGCCCTTTGGAGCTCACAGGGATTGCAGGGAGGCCAAAGGAATGAGCAACAGAGGATGAGTCCTTGGGAAGTACCCTTATGGAGGCCCTAGTGCTTGGTGCTAAGAGGAGGGACAATTTTATTGCTTTGAACTTTCAGCTCCAATCAGATTTATCATAAAACGCATCCAAGCCTCTCTGAGAAAATGATGTTAGAACAACTGTAGTTCAGGACCATAGAGGTACTACTGGAGACCAGCCGCTGCTCTTGCTGGTCTATATCAAAAGAGGATACAAGGTGATTGTATACCTCTGTAGACCCATTAAGGGAATGGATTATTATTAAGATAGATTCCAGTACAAAGCTCATGCCTTACCATCTGGGGAGCTGGATTATGAAACTATTTTTTCCAGGGTTCCAGGAGTGCTCTTCCAGCCAAGTTCCTGGGGACTACCAATCCCTGCTCTGCAATTGTAGATTCCCTAAATACACTGAAAATCAAGAGCAAATCCAAAAGTCCTCTGGTAGCAAGAACTGATATGGAGCAATATGGTCTTTACTATCCCTCGTAGCAAGAAAAGTCAGACGTTCTTGCAGAAACATTAATATGCCTCATTAGAGTGCCATCCCAGACTTGGGCGCATATGTCACATATTGTAGTAAAGGCACCAAATTACTTTATTACCATTCTAGAATTTGAAAAACTATCTTAACTTACATCTGGCCTAAAAGTTTCAATTCAGGGATTTGGGGCCTATAATTATCTCCAGACCAGTGTTTCTCTCATACTTTTAGTTTCCTAAAAATTATTTGGACTAATTTTCATAATAGAGATTTCCATGCCCTTTAGAGTTTCTGAGCCAGTCAGTAGAGTAGGACCCAGGATTTGGCATTTCTGACAAGCATCCAGGGATGTAGCTGGTTCAGGGCACGTGTTTTAGCATCATGATCCTAGGAAGGCTCATCCAGCACCAGGAGCCAATTGGCTGCTTCAGTCCACAGTCCTAGCCTAACCCTTGCTGTGTTCCCCATCAGTACCAGGACCCAACAGGAAAAGCCAGCGCTCCTGGCGCCCAGACTGCTCTGTAAGAGATTCTGCTGGGCAGAAGGTAACACAGAAGTTTAGTCTGAGTCTTTAGTTGTTAGCAGATGGAAACTTTTTCTAGTCCCCCCTCTGGATCTTCAGTTAGCACCATTTACCCAATCACAGATGCTCTGGGAGGTCGCAAAGGCATTTCTTAGTTGGCACAGCAAACAAAAACCCCAACCAAAAGCCAGACATGTTTGAGCTGTAGCTTCCATCAGCAGAAAATGAAGTTTTAAAAAAATTGGCTGTAAATATGTTATAATTGGTAGAGTTCACACTTCTGGATTCTCTTAGGAAAACAAACAAACAAGTCAGCAATCCTGGGGACAGAGTTTCAGATTATTTCTTTGTGAAATGACGAATGTTCTCAAGTTAAGATGCTAAGAAACTGTGCCTGGTGTGGCAAGAATTCAGCACCAAGCTGTGTTTTCTCACTTGTTTGACCTGTCTGGTCCTCACACATAAAATTGCCCAATTCCTGACTGCTTTGCTTAATGAGATAAATAATGAAATGATTTCAAAGGGATTAAAGGTCCCAGTCCCTTGACTTCTTATTGGGGTTCTTACCTGCCGCTAAGGTAGAGGAGTACCTGGAGCAGGAGGTCAGGAAAAAAAAATCTGGGTAAAAATTAAGACACACGGACCCCCAGTGTATATGAATCTATGCAGTCATGAGATTCCAAACCTCAGTTTCCTTATCTACAAAATGGGGACATTATGAACTATGCAAATCAATCTCTTAGAATCAGGTATTGTCTGCAGGGTCAAAGTTAATTTTTGAAAACCTGCCATTTAAGGCAAAATTTAAAAATTTTAATGGAATAAATCATTATGAGAGTTTTGAGTTCCCTTCTTGGTTTATTCCATAAAAATGTTTAGTTTTTATGTTTATGGGTCCAACAAGAATTTTTGGAAATAACGTTTTACTAGAATACGGGCATGCTCACTCAATCACAAGTTGCAGATGGCTGCTTTTGCCCAGCAGGAAGAGGTGACTAGTTGTGACGGAGACAGGACAGCTCAAGATGACAATACTAATTGTATGGTCCTTTATTATTATTATTATTATTATTTTTTAATATTTATTTTTTAGGTGTACTTGAACACAATACCTTTATTTTATTTTATTTATTTTTATGTGGTGCTGAGGATTGAACCCAGTGCCTCGCACATGCTAGACGAGCGCTCTGCCGCTGAGCCACAACCCCAGCCCCAATTGTATGGTCCTTTAAAGAAAAAGCTTGCCGTCCTCTGATCTAGACAACAGAACTAGAAATTGAGACTTGTACAAAAGGGGAAGTAAGTAGCCCAACATTTTGGTTCCCTGCTACACTGTCTGAGCTCCTCTTCTTCCAGGTTCATGTCACTTTCTCTGAGACTGACATTAAGGACTCATCTTTTAGGGCTGAGGCAGGAGCTCAGTGGCAGAGCACTTGCCTAGCATGTGTGAGACACTGGGTTTGATCCTTAGCACCACATTAAAATAAAATAAAATAAAGGCATGCTGTCCATTTACAACTACAAAACAAAACAAAACAAAACAAAACAAAACAAAACACTCATCTTTCAGCTGGGTACATGCCTATAATTCCAGCAGCTTGGGAGGCAGAGGGAGGAGGATGCGAGTTCAAGGCCAGCCTCAGTAACTTAGTGAGGCTCTGGGCAACTCAGTGAGACCCTATCTCCAAATAAAACATAAACAGCATTCCTTAAATGACCCCACATACTTTGAGCATTCTCTCACCCTGAGTTCCTATAGCTTCTATTACTTCAGGGTGCTGTCTTTGAATACAACATACAAACAAATCTGTCCTTCCTGTACCCACCGGGGGGGAAACTGGGACATTGATTCCAGTGCCCTAGAAAGTCATGAGCGCCTTGCTTGGAATTCCTTTCAGAACCTGCAACATACTCTTAAAAACTCTAATGGAGAATCTTCACTTTTGGATGTGGGAAAACAGCCAAGAGTCAGTCAATCTATTTTGTAAAATAAAAGGAGACTAGTTTCTTGTGGGGCTTAACTTAGTTCTGAAGGCAACTCGAGAGAACAAAGCCAGGTGCATCTGAGCAGCGACAGCGTGGTTTGAAAGCCTGCCAACTCAACCTGGGTCCAGAGCCTCCAAGTGGGAAATGTTTCAAATTTAGCTCAGAAGTCAGTTATTCAGAAATGAATATTTTTTTTTCTGACATATTGGTTGAAAGCAAACAAAAGAATAGTATACCTGAATGTGAGACTAGGCACATCAGAAGGTACCTCAGAGCTTTGTTTTATGCATACCGACATACATACATGCGGCACCACTGGATTTAAAAAAAAAAAATCATATGGCCACTTCAAATTCCCCAACAAGACTGCCCGTGCTCCAAGGCAAAGGGACCTCCACCTTCTATCTCTGTGAGTCCAGTGAGGACATGTATTGAATCTTCAGGATAAAGCTAAATGTCACTTCCTTTCTAAAGAGTTCCAAACTAAGGTGGCAACTCTGTCACACTGTGCACAATCCCATATGGCATGTGGCCGAGGGACTGTTACCTGCACATTTTCTTATCTATTTCCCCTTACCCTGTGTGTTTAGCTTTCTTTAACCTTCAGGTAGCAGAGTTCCTGGAGCGGGACAAAACTCCAGCCACCCTTGATTGGAGTGCGAGGGTGGCTACTTGTTTTCTACAGTAATTTTCATTTTTCATCCAAACTCTTCACACACAAAGAGATGTGATGTGCAAAATATTCAGGAGAGGGTTGAAGGAAGGAAGACCTGCAGAGGCTGGTGCCCTGACACTCCTGCTTCTAGGTGACACTGTCTACAGAGAACTAAGAAGCAAGCATCTACATAAGAGATTCAGTCTTCTGAGAATTGGTTTGCTAGTGAAATGAATTCCTGGATCTTCCAACGTGCCCCGTTTCATACATCTCAGTAAAACACTTGAGAAGCCATCAGATGCTGCTGATCCTAAATGCTATATTGGGTTGTCTATGGCTTGGTCCACTCTGCAAGGGCAGAGAACCATCTTGAACTAAGTGGAGGACTCTGGGCCATCCCACCTAGTGGGCACTGGACAGGAGCACCACCCATGGCTGCCTTACCACTGTTGTCCAGGGCACCTGAGGAATCCTGGTGTAGGTCATCGTTATGTAGATGATGAGGAAGAAGACGGTGAGGACCCAGTAAAATACAGCTACGAACATGACCCAGCCAAATGCAGGAACCCGGAAGTACTCGGTCCCGGCGATAAGTGTCCATACCAGTAGACCCAAGACCTGTAAGATGGTAGAGGCAGTGGAAAAGAAAGGGGACGGGGGAGGAACAGGGGACAGAGAAAAAGATAATTATACAGAGTGTCAATTACAACTCTCTTGAATATTCACACATACAAACCCATGATTTGAAAATAGGGATTGCAAACTCTTATGCCCACAAATACTAGGAGGGTAAGATCAATGACCATGGCAGGCAGGTTTGCAGCCATGGCAAATAAGAAAATCCATGTCTTGTGAAAAGGAGGCACTCTCTATGCAGCTCTGGCTGATTTTAGTGGACTGGTTTCAACAAATCTGCCCCCTCTTTTCCTTAGAAAAACACAGAAACTCAAGTTTGCCCATGATAATCTTGTTTTTAAAATATTAGCACTAATTAAGAGTCTTAAAACACCACTCAGGGCAAAACAGCAACTGTGGCTGGAATTTGCTCTCAGAATGGTACTTGTCAAGGAAACAAGACTGCAGGTCCACTCAGAGGCGGTCCTGGGGCTGATCTGCTCTCAAACTCTGAGCCTCTGGGCATTCCCTGCCTGCCATCGCTGCCCTGCTTACAGATGGTGGAGAGTGGTGGCCTGAGACAGCTGTCAGAGGAAGAGCAAGCCAAGGTCCCCGTGCAGACACGATACTTGGCATCTTATGACAAGTGGCACACTGTCCCAGCAACAGCTATTCTACTCTTCACCACTGCAGAGCAAGGCCAGAGCCAAAGCCACATCAACGTCACTTGCTGAGTCCTGGAGGCCTGTATCCAGGCACAAGAAACTGACCTAAACCGGAGGTGTCTAGAGTCCTGAGCAAAGGAAGGCCAGAGAAAGGTAGGCACTTGCATTCCAACACTTTCCAGAGTGCTGGACAGAAGGACTTTATTCCTAAGTCAAGGGAAAGTTAGAGTCTGTACCACATCCCTAGGGGACACCATCAAAAATTCAGGGTGAACTCTGGCCATAAATGCTGGCTTGCTGGGTGACTCAGGACAAAATATTTCATTTCCGTTTTAGCTTTCTTTGCAGTCTGCAGAACAAATACTAAAGTAATGCTAAGCATACAAAGCTGGGAAGATAAATGTTGATCATTCGTATACCATGCGCGCATCTGCAATGGTCAGGCTTCTTGTCATCGGAAAGTGGGATATGAACTGAACAGATCTTGCTGATAAACAGCTTAACGTCTAGGGGTGGGAACATCAGACTAATTAGAACTGAAAATCACTATGCAGGAATATGGCCAGCTTCCATATAGGGGGACATCACATTATGGGTAGCTACAAGAAGTGTCAGAGAAGAAAGCTCCTAAGACAGGCGGGAAAGTAATGTTCTTGCAGAGTGTGGCATGAGCAAAGGTGGGGGGTGGGGAGGGCTGGGCTACCTTCCAAAACCAGAAGGAACATGTATGTCGTAGGTTAAAAAGGGTCACATGACACAGGCCCAGGAAATCTAAGGATTTTGTACTTTATCCTAAGGGTGAAGGTTTTAAGCAGAGAGTGATGACATCTGGTTAATTTTTTTTTTAATCAGATCACAACTGGCTGCATGTGGAGAATGGACATGTGGAGGGTTAAGCGGTGGTCTGAGGGATGAGTTCAGAGATGGTGCAGGTACCCAAGTGGGAGATGGGGATGTCTTCAAGACCAGTGAGGTGGGAGTGAATATTGAACAGTTGGTTAATTCATGACAAATTTCAGGAGCAGGCAGGACTTCATAGATGACATATGGTGGTGTGAGAGGATACAGTGGAATGACTGGTCCCAGGTCTCTGGAAAGGTTTAAGAAGTGGTTTAGGGTTTCATTTGTTCAGCTGGAATGACAAAGGAGGAAAGGTTGTGGGGGTGGGGGGGGGAGTAGGAGGGGATGCTGTTGATGAGCTCAGTTCTTAATCTGTCAAGTTTGACGTGGCTGCCAGACCCTCAAGACAGGTATTTTAGTCAGCTTTTTCACTGCTGTGACTGAAGGACCTGACCAAAATAATTGTAGAGGAGGAACAGTTTAATTTAAGGGCTCACGATTTCAGAGGTCTCCATCCACAGACAGCAGGCTCTGTTCCCCAGGGATTCCAGGTAAGGCTGAACATCATGGCGGAAGAGAATGGCAGAAGGAAGCAGCTCACATGGCCGTCAGAAAGCAGAGAGCGAGATTCCACTTGCCAGATACAAAATATATACCCCATAGCCACATCCCCAATGAACCACTTCCTCCAGCCACACCCCACCTGCCTCCAGCCGCTACTCAGTTAATCCCATCAGAGATCAATTCACTGATCAGATTAAGGCTATAACCCAATCATTTCTCCTCCAAACCTTCTTGTATTGTCTCACATGTGAGTTTTTGGGGGACACATCTAAACTATAACAACAGTGATTTTAAAAAGTAGATGCTACAGGGAGGAGATTTGGGCCCTTCTTTAAGAAGCAAGACCTCAGTGAGAGACATGAAGACTCAGGTAGGATTCCCAGGGACACCCTACAGTTGATTTCCTGAGAGAAGGACAACTCTCTGTGAAAGTCTGCATGCCTGTGCTGGGAAGCAGGTGATAGAGTCTGAGTGTTGCTGTTTCTCCTCTTTAGAGTTGAACATGGACATTCTTTTGTCTCCTTGATGTTGTATATGGATGCCAAAGAAAAGGTGCTTAATGGAGATGTGTGTTTGTGCTTACATTGGTGGCAATAAAAAAAGTGAGGATGTACAAAATGGATGTGACTCCAGAAAGCACTAAGCCTCACACTAATGGGGATTTTGAGCTCGGATTCATCCCAACTGACAGGTAATCTATACCCTTATGTTTGACATTCCCTTGGATCAGTAAGATTGGTAATGGGTATAATCCCGCACAACAGCACTGAAACAACATTTTAGGGCCTCTTGGTTCAAACTGAAAGGGTCAGATGGGCCTTTTGTTGATGATTCACACAGGAAACAACAGTGAATGAATGATTGCAAATGTGTTTATGGTGCTCTTCCAGGATTGCAAAGGTTTAAGGTTCACCTGACAGCTCTTGGGCTATGAATGCAAAAACGTTTTTCATTAATAATCAAATGGAGCCTGTTGTCCAGAGCTGCAGTTGTCCAATTTGCTAGCAACGGTCACTTGCAGATGCAGGACAATATGTTTAACTGAGCTGTTTCTCAAAGAGCAGGAATACTTGACCCCTGACCTCACCAGCAAACATAGTAAAAAGAGTGTACCTGTCAAGAGAAGAATTGTTCTATTCCAGTGAATTTCCTAGGTAAGTGAAATCTATCTTCAGGCAAACCTTTTATCTCCCTCTATAAGCAATACTGATGGAGATCACTCTACAAAAATGTCACTCATCTCCTATGTGCATGTGTATGTGCATACATTTAAGAAAAGTCCTACATCTTTATTTGCTTAGACTGCACAAATACCATTTATTCTCCCCTGGTTTGCATTTTGTAAGGCCAGGCCTAAAACAACAACAACAACAACAACAACAACAACAACAAAAAAAACCCAATTCAAGAGTGATAAATGTAGGTTAAAAAATTAACATGGAAATATATCCACAATTTGGAAATTTAAGAAAAAAAAATCAATACCAACAATTTTACCAACCTTTTCTCTTACATTCCTAACCCACCACCTGAGTGTTCTTTTCTTTCTCTCTTTATAAATATGGATCATTCTTATATGGTGCCTATAACTTGCTTCTTTCAGTCAGCAATCCCATGGAGGACATCCTATGTACTATGTACAGAGCTAGGTCAATTTTAATAGTTGCTAGTTCTCCATAATTCATGTAACCAGTTCCCTATGGAGGTAAATTTAGGTTATCTCTTTTTATGTTTGTACAAAAATGCCCAGAGCATATTCTTACAATATAATCTCTGCATACCTGAATTCCAGGACACAGTTCTAGAAGCAGAATTTCGAGTCTGTTTTAAACTGTAGAGATGCTGTCAAATCACTCTCCAAAAACCTTATACTCATTTACCTTTCCATCAAAAAGCATGTATACATGTAGATATTCTATATCTATATATCTATAATCTATATTCTATATCTATATTTTTTTAAAATTGTAGACGGAGACAACATTTTTATTTAATTAATTTATTTATTTTTATGTGGTGCTGAGGATCGAACCCAGGGCCACATGCTTGCAAGGCTAGCGCTCTACCACTGAGCCACAACCTCAGCCCTCTTTATCTATATTCTATATCTTCATTTATACATGCTTTCCCCCTTCTACTCTCACTGGACTATATTCCCCAATTTTTGTTGTTTTTGAGACAGAGTCTCACTATGTTGCCCAGGCTGGTCTTGAAGTTGTAAGCTCCAGTGATTCTCCTGCCTCAGTGTCTCTAGTAGAGATACAGGTGTGTAGCCACAACTGGCTAATTCCTATGCTTTGAATGATTAAAGACTTACTTCAGAGCTCATATTTTTGCCTTTCACTACTTTATTGAAATACAGTCAAGAGAAGTGTGACAAATCCTAAGGGAACAGTGTGGTGGATTTCCACTAACTGACCCAACCTGTGTACCTAGCATCCCCATCAAGAAACACACCACAGCCAGCACACGCTTCTAGTTACTGCGTCTCCCCTCCAAGGGCAACAATGATCCTGATTTCTAGCCTCCCGGATTAGTTTTGCTCAATTTCCATCTTCGTACAGATGGAATTGTACAGTCAGTACTCAACACACCTGGCTTCCTTTACTCAGTGCCGAGAGTCAGACACAACACAGAATGTAGTTCTTTCGTCCTCCTGACTACCAGCAACGGTTCTCAAATGTGGAGGGCTTGTTCACCCAGATTGCACAGACTTTGCTCTAGAGTCTGTGATTCAGATCTAGGGTGGGATCTAAGAATCTGCACTTCTAGCAAGTTCCTGGTGATACTGCTGTCGGGAGCCAGCAAATTATGAACCACTGATACATACTGTTCTTGTTTCTGCTTTAAATTACATTTTCCTGACCTGTGATAAGTATTTTTTTCAAGTGTTTATCGGTAACTTACAGAGCTTTCCTTAATTGATAAGTTAAA